ATCAACTATTCAAAAGCGCTCGAGTTTTGGGTCTTATTTTAAGTCTATAACAATTTTCTTCATAATATTTAAAAACTTTAATCAATGAAAAACAAAATCCGAGCTGTTTCTTTTAAACAACGCGTATAGATAACGCAGAAAACGTAATTGTAGATTAAAAAGATCACACTCAAATATATCAATAACTTTATTTAGTCCACCTTGATGAAAAACACAAGAATACACTATTATTGTTTTGTGTAGAATTAATACTCAAATTGGTGCAAGCATACATATCAAATTTAATCAAAACAATGAATATACTCATATATATATATATATATACATGTGTGTGTGTGATTCATTGTATATATTATTAAAGTATATATTATAATAAACAACAACCAGTTATTACATTCAAAGTAACTGGATTTATGGTAATATCAATATCTTACATTATGTCACATGTGTCCAGGATAAAAATTGAAGTATTTTTACTAATCCTAAACAAAAAAGAATTTTTTTTCGGGGGACCTCAACAGCCTAATGTGAATAGTAACGGTTAAAATGATATAATTTGTTTGGTTTCGATTTTGATGGTTATGAAACTTTCAAATTAACAGACATTTTGTCCTCTTAACCCTATTTTACTATGCTAAAACAATACAGTGAGCTATCCTCAGAGACGTACAAACACGCAGAAACCTATGAGGCATAGGCAATAACTTTACTGGCACTCTAGGCTGCGTTCCTATTCATACTGGAGCCCCTGAATATTTGGCGCCCTGGGCAGCCGCCTATGTTGCCTACCCTTAACACAGGACAATAGCGGCAGTTACGTCACATTGTATGTGCAATATCAAATCACCTACTTATTTTTTCGTATTGCAAAAAATTCTGTACCCGAAACATATGACAACACTGGTTCTTTATTTAAAATTTTCATGTAAACCCGATACCGATATTTTAATGAAATCTAGTGGGTACGTTTCTTACATTAGCTTTTGCCCTTGACGACTGGGGGAGGGGGTTAACCAATCTCCCCATTGACTTCTATCTCTTTCCGGTTTATCAGTTTTGTAACCCAAAATGGCTACATGAAATATTGGGCAGGGTTATATATTTTTAATCATTTGATCACCCTCTTTTGTATGTTACGATATCACATCGGTTCACAACATCACTATATAGTTTAACAATACTTGGATGTAACGATCCTCAACATGAAAGACTTTGAAAAAGTCCTGGCAAAACATGATTTCGTACACAACAGAACTACGATTTTGAAGACTATACTAAGTAAACATTAAAAATCAGTAACACTTTTATGTACACTTTTTAAACACTCAATCGATAAATTTACCGAACTGTTAAATTAAAAGTTTTTTTTTTATCCTGATAAGATTATTTATGGAGACGAAAAGATATATAAAATATTGTAATCCTTATTATAGTTTTTTTTTTTATATTTTGAGCATGCACGCATAAAACCTTTAAAGGTATATAATTTGATAACAATTAGCGGTATGAGTAAAGCTTAGTTAATTTATATCCCTTTGACGTTAAAGAAGAAAATTAGTTTTTTTCTTTCTTTTACATATTCTGGATAACTAAGTACAAAATAACGTTGAAGAAAAACTGAATTTGTGTAGTTTTGTGTTTACAACACGGGCTCGGTCTGTTGGACCAACCTCGTAACCATTTTGTGCTTGTTATAGTTTTCATGCTTTAACTTTTAAACCAGTAAGCGAATGTTAACGAAATTTGGCACATTATCAGTTAATATTACAATGCTTTCGTAGCAAAATACCAATTTTGTGAATTAATTCTTAAAGTTTGTTTAGTAATGTTTTTCTCATACCATTCTAGAACGAAAGAAGTATAATTTATATTTATTTCCTAATTTTTTATGTTGGTTACGAGATCGGTCAAATCTATCGAACCCATAGAGATTCAATAGTGAAAATAACAGATAAAATATAAAGTTTTTCCTTAAGAAACAATTGATAACTATCTGGACTTTAACATTTTCTGATGCATAAAAATATTTTTAATTTTAAAATGAAAATTACTTTGCATGTTGTATAGGCAAAATGCGAAAATAAATAATGGTATGAGAAAAACATTGCTTAATATTAAGAATTAATAAAAAAAAATCATTTTGCATAAGCATTGTAATGTTAACTGATAATCTGCCAAATTACGTTAAAATACGCTTACTAATTTAAAAGTTATAACATGAAAACCATAACAAGCACGAAATGGTTACGAGGTCGATCCGACGGACCGAGCCCTTGCTGAAAGGGTTAACTTCAAACAAACTGCATGAATGCGCATGTCTTTGCTTCTCTAATGAAATCTCAGATGGAGCTCCTGGTGATACCTGTTCAAACTAACCACTACTCTATGAAATATAGGAGTTTAAAGAATAAAATCAGCAATACTCTAGTTAACAAAAAGAAAGTTAAAGACAACACTACAGCTTCGTAAACATCACGTCAATATTCCACTACTAACAATTCTAAATTAGATTTTATATAGTACATTGTCCTTTTTTCTAACTAAACCAAATCTAAAAAGATCATAGAGATGGTTCATGGCTGACTTATTGAGGATATAAAAAGCCGGATTCCTCCATTGGTTCAGCGGCAAGTTTACGGACTTACAACACTAAAATCCTGGGTTCGATTCCACTTGATTAAAAGAGCGTAGACAGCTTATAGTGTATCTTCGCGCTTAAACAAACAAATAAATAAAACGTCGGATAAGCATAAATTTACATACGAAATGCGTAAATGTCT